TTATGAATAGGTATGCTTTTTTATCTGGATATGAAAACCTTGGCTCCAACAACCAACAAAAGCCCTGCAACCAACAGCAAACAAACAAAAAGCAAACAAAACAAAAACCTTGGCTTTAAACTACTCTCCTCTACAATGGTCAGTGTTTAGTTGTCAGACCTTTAGTGTTTTTAATGTTTATTTCTTCATATAAAACACTCAAGCCTCACACTTGCTTGGTATTTGATCTATCATGTCTCCAGCTTTTTTTCACTTTTTTGATTTTTCAGATAGGTTTTTCAATTTTGCCTAGGTTTAGCTTTGTCTTATATAGTATTTCTACCTATACCTTCCATGTCACTGGGGTTACAAGCATGGACTACCAGGCTTAACTTGTTTAGGATAGAGTATCACTTTCACTTTTTTCTGGGCTGTCATCAAACTTCTGTATTTTTAATCTCTGTCTCCTGATAAGCTGGGGTTATAGTTATGCATCAACATGCCCGATTGGAGATTTTTAAGTATTTAAATGATTTTTAAGTTTTTAAATGATAGATTCTGCATTCTACTTTGAAGGTGAAGGACATAGGTTAGTGGATAGACTAGGGAGGGGAAAAATGCCAAATGACATAAAGTTAAAAAATGACAATTTGATCAGTGTCAAACATGAAAAACTGACAATTTGGGCATGTGCTGGAAAGATAGAGCAAATGTAAATTTGCTTTATGTCATTTGGCCAATAATTTCTACTGATAAGTACTAGCAAATGGCAACAAGTAAACAGGAATGGTGGTAAAGGATCCTAACATAGTATGAAGAGATGAAAAAGTTCATGATATGTCCATACATGATCAGGATAGTACACTGAATTTCTACAGTTTGTTCTTCCCCAGCAGCTCCCCATAGTCTGCATTCTTTCTGCATCCCTATGAGGGAAACACTGTAGTCTCTAAGTCATAAGCTTGGACAAAGAGATGGAAACATGTAATAAGGGTCATCATAGCTGTCTTCTGTTCAGATTTATTTGCTTATGTATTTTTATTTATTTTTTGATTGGACATGAGGCTTGAACTCTGGGCCTGAGTGCTGTCCATCACCTCTTCAGCTCAAGGCTAGCTCTATACCACTTGAGCCATAGTGCCACTTCCGGTTTTCTGGTGGTTTATTAGAGATGAGAATTTGACGGCCTTTCCTGCCTGGGCTGGCTTTGAACTGTGATCCTCAGATCTCAGCTTCCTGAGTAGCTAGGATTACAGGTGTGAGCCAACGGCACCTGGCCAGATTTATTTTTTCCAGTCCTGGGGCTTGAACTCAAGACCTGAGCACTGTCTATTTGAGCCACAGTGCCACTTCTGGAATTTTCTGTTTATGTAGTGTTGAGGAATGGAACCCAGGGCTTCATATATGCTAGGCAAGCACTCTACCACTAAGCCACATTCCCAGCTCCATGTTCAGATTTATTTTGATGCTGAGAAGCCACGATGTTTTTTTCTGGAAAAAGTAAAAGTGTACTGTAGGAAACTCCTAGTTTTCAGTCTATCCCTGTATAAGAGGTTACATTCTATGCAGCCAACTTTTTAGCATTGTGTATGTGCACAGATTTGAACAGTGAAAGCATTCTGTACAAGTCCATAAAATCTGTAACCCTAGTGACATGTGCATATGAGGACTCATTTTTGGATCATGCAGATGGCCTGAAAGTGATCTACTCTAGCTCTACCAAGCTTCGATTAAGTATAGCAACTTCATCCTGATAGGTGAACTTATGCACACTAACGGTATATCATATCTGTTGTCCTCAAGTATAGATGGAAGACTTTCCCTAAAGACAGGAATTTCATGCCTGATGACTTCTCTGTAGTTATTCAGTGCTCAGAGAGCCTCATATATAGTACAGTTCAGCCACTATGAAATCATTAAGCCCTCTAGCACCCTCATCAACCTTGAAGAAAGGCTGGAGGATAATACTGATCTGAGAAGAATGTGCCGATGGTATATAAATTTTTGTTACAGTAGTTGTTTTTCCTCTCTTCATGATTTTCTTTGTCCATCTAAGACATCTTTCACACAATCACCTTTATCTTACCCTGTGTGACATTCTGACACTGAACAGCCTGTATTTTCATTTTCTAAACAATGTTATTCGGTCCAAGCATAGTGAAGAAATATCCAGGGGAAAAAGCACATCTTTTGGGTTGTTAGCAGTAGGGAGATATCTGTGGCAAGATCAAAGAATGCTCCTAAAACAAATGATCCCTTAGGAGTACCACCTCTTCTTTTAGACTCTACCTACCACCTGGAGCAATGCCATCAAACTCTCCCCGGTGGGGTCATTACCTATTACTGACCACTTTGTGTTAAGAAATAAGTAAACCAGTGGGTTCTGAAAAACTTATCAACCTTTGGTCCTCAGTACAGAGAGAGATTTCTCTACCACTTCTAGGACAGGAACAATTAATAGAGGGAAGAATTGCAGCATAGCATGCCATGCAGTTGGCAATATGCTAAGCTAGGATCAACCTTCTCAACCTTTACTGGTAGAGAAAGGGGATTCAAGAGTAGGGCCATCCATTCCTTATAGAGACAATAGGGGCAGTCAGGAAGAGCCAACCTCATTTTCTTTTTTCCTAAACACTAGCCATAGATAACCCTAAACCCATACCAACAAAACTATGCAAAAGACAGAACTGCTGTAAGGGCATTTATTGGAGATGAGAACAAGGCAATATATTGGAGGTTTATTGGGGGAAAGTTATGAATTATTTTGAGGGAGGAAACTTGTCTCTGGGAATGATGGAGGAAAAGTTTCCCTTTCAAAAGGGAACCACTCCCAACACACTGCCGTTAGGAATGGTAGGGGTAGCCAGAGGCACCTGAGGCACTTGCTGTCTGCAGGTGGGTCTGCGGTGGAGCCCTGGTTCCTTGTACTCCATGGCTGTGAGATGCCTGTGATCAGGAGCTAGCACACTCTTTGTTGGCTCTTTGTGCCAGCCTGTGCCTTGCCTGTTCTTCTCAAGGTAACTCTGTCTAGGACTAGCAGCTTCTTGTGCGCAAGACTTGACACATGTCACTTTAGAGCAGGAAGCTTTGTTGGGGTGCTTGCCCTGCCTACGGTCTGTCTGGGTCTCCAGTTCTGCCGTCAGCTGAGTTTTCCCAGACTTCATGGGAGAGAGAAGGGGTTCCTGGGGACATGTGACACCTACTCCACGCCCCTGCCCTTGTTTCGCCACCGTTACTTTCCCAGTGTCTCTGGTGACTTTTTGATTTTCAGTGTTCCCAGAAAAAGTAGCTCTCCCTTTACCTAGGCTTCTGGCCTGAGCAGATGATGATGGAGAACTGCCCTTTCCCAGAGAGCCTTCTTGTCCTTTGCCCCTTTTACCTGTACTAAACCACTGAAAAAACTGTTTCATGTGGTTTCTGAAGTGATTTTCAGGAGGAAACTGACCCTTCTGTAACAGAACATGGGATGTCCTCCCAGACATCTCCTTTGATGTTTTATTTTGAGGATGGCAACTCCTCTTTCTGAGTTGTGATGTCCCCAGCCTTGTATCTCCTCCACCAAACTCGCCTGATTTTAGTGTTGGAGGGCTCATGCCATTGTTACTTTGTGGAGAATTTTTGTCTTGGCCCTTGTGGAGGTCACTAGTGGTGCAAGGCTTCTGTCCCTGCTTCCCACTGATCATTGTCTTGTCCAGTTGTGCATGCAGCTCATGGGAAGCTGCTATGTTCACACTGGTGACACTAGAGTTTAAAGTAAGTAAAGTCACGTTTTTCGAGTTATCTGACTCCAGAGGCAGGTCATCCTGAAGACCCTGGCCCTTTCCTGTCTTTCTGCTCTCCAGTTTCAGTTTCAACTCATTGAAAAGTCCATTTTTTAAGTCTGATAACTCAGGACCTTGGTGAACCAATGTATCCATTGGGGTCTTTTTAGTGGTCAGGATACCTTGTGCTTTGCTTTGATTGATAGTTGTCACTAGGGAGGCTTTGCTCTCCTTGGTGATGTTTGTTCCAGCTTGGGATGGAAGATCACAGAATTCCTTGGTCTTGAATGTCTCCTTAGAGATATTATATAGGGAATTTTTTTCTGAATGTATCCTCTTTTCATCAGTCCTTTGTACGCTTTGTTTAAAAATTTGTTTCTTATCGTCTGCATCAGGTGCAGCCATTGCTGTCCTTGGGAACACATTTGGACTGCACATATTGTCTGCTGTGGACTGTGTCACATGGTCATGGTGTCCTGGGACACCATGGGTTGGGCGCAGAAAAGGCCATCTGCCATCCTTCATTCTATGTAGGTTCTCAATGTACTCATTGTTGGTATCAGAGAGTAATTGTCTCTGAAACCCCTGTCCTTTCTTGCTCACAGGTGAGGCTGAATTTGTTGTTCCCATCTTCTTTTGGCTATTAGCAACAGAATTTTGTCCAAAAGACTGAGATACCCCAAGTTTAGAATCTACCCCAGAAATAGAGGTTGATGGGGAGGAAAGTTTAGAGTTGGAGCAGACCCAAGATGGACCTTCTTTTGCATAAGTGGTTTCTATGGATTTCTGGGCCTTCTGGGGAAGACATTGCATTGTCTTCATTTGAAAAAATTTAATTCTGTCAGCCACAATATTTGGCTTGGTGGAATCAGGGAAAGAAATATCATGGGGTGTGTCCAGACTGCTCTCCTTCCCTACCAATGGTGCCAAATCTCTCTGTTTCTTTTGGCTAGGGGATTTTTCACACAAGGACAAGTGCATGCTGTTAGAATGACATAAACCATTCACAGTGCCAGGGACCTGACACTCTTTGATTTCTGTGAATTTCTTGTTCCAGTGTACTTCCAGAGCATCCTTGAATTGTTTCTGATGCAGAATTACCAGTGAAGTACTCAAATCACTCCCTGACACACTCCCGGTGACACTTTCTGAATTTGACTCAGATTGAGACTGTGAACTATTATGTGGAGCCCCCGCTGAGGCAGTGGACAGATGGTCTTTGGGTCCAGTCTCTGGGCTGTGTCTCTGTTCCTTCCCTACTTCCTCGTCTAGCAGAGATATCTCTATGCTCTTCTCAGAGCTTTCAAGTTGGCTCGATTCAAAGTTTGGGTGTTTGCTCTTCTGATGTTTGAAGGAGGAAATCCATGAGAGCCCCTCACTGATCTTAGACTCAGAGCTCTGGGGAGTTTCTATCCTAGGACTCATCAGTGACAGAGACTCCTGGATCCTGCGGGGCAGGCCCCAGTGCTGCTGGATAAGCCTCTTTCGAAGGTGATGCTCTAGTTTTTGCTGCAGGCCACTGTTGAGGGGGAAATCACCAGGAAGGATGGAGACCATAACTTTAGCTTTAGAATACTGTCTGACCAATGGAAGTTTTGGAGCTGGAAAACAAAAGTCTTCCTGAGATCTCTGGACCACAGAGGGTAAACCCCACACATTCTCTTGCTTTTTCTGCAATATATTATATTCCAGGTGATGAATTTCAGATGGTGTAAGGAGCTGTACCTCACTCTGTAGTCCATGAAAACAGACTCCACAGGCCCTAATCTGGGGTTCAGGAGAAGATGGCAGGCCGAGGAGTAGAGATTGAAGCTGGGCCTGTGCCTGGGCTCCTAGATGATCTTGGTGCAAGGTCTCAGGCAAGACTTGAGAATGGATTTCAGGCAATGGCAGAAGTTTAGGGTCAGGGATCACTGGGGATTTGTGGGCTGTGAAGACGTTGGAGATTATATTGAAGAAGACAAATTTCAAAGAATAGTCACCTAAGCCAGGGACAGTAGAGCTCAAGGACTCACTGTGTAGAGATGGGAGACCCCAAAAGAGTTGGATAGACTTTTGCTGAGAATGGTCCTTATAGGGATTTGGACTTGGGGCCTGAATATACTTGTGTAGCTCCCCTTGCTTGCCGTTGGAGCTCCCAAATGGAAGGGAAACTGCCAATTCCTGCTGCTCAGCAACAGACTCTAACACTTTCCCTACAGAATTCAGTTGACACCCTAGCTTATCTTGTTGGGTACAAGAATCAGTTTTGCTTTCCCTTTCTTTCCACATCAAGAAGCCACCTCTCTTCTTGATTTGGGTCTCCAAGAATGCTAGAACGTCGAGTCTGATAAATGAGAGGTTACTGGGCTCGATGTGGTAGGATGCAGCAACACCTTCAGAAGAGGCCTCGGAAGAATGGAGGGCAAGGGATTCCCACTTGGCCTCACACTCTACTAACTCACAAGGGAGCGGGCTCGTCACATCTAGCTCCCTGCAGGACAATTCTCTGGTTAGTGGGTCATGAGTGGACAAGCCAGAAGGCCTGCCAGTCATTCCACAAGTGGAATCATGTTGGAGAACAGGTCCTATTCCCCAAGTATGATGTTCTAGGGGAGGAGGATTTGAGGCGAGTTGTTGCAATGGTAATGGAGCTGCTACAAACTTAGTTTCCAAAGGAGACATAGTCTCTAGTGGCAGAGCATGGTCTGGAGAGCCTGTGGAGGGTAGAGTTGGAGAAAGCTCAGTTGTTATAGCTGGAATTGCATTTTCTGCTAGGTTTTCTGAGAGAGGAGTGTTCGGTGACGCAGATGACTTTTTCACAGGAGTTTCGGAAACTAATGGAGACCCTGAAGAGGCAGCGACTTTCACAGATGCTTGAGATAGCAGGTGACTGGCCTCCGCCGCTGTCCTGCCACACACCTGACAGAGGGGGTCTGGACATAGCAGTTTCCGAAAGCGAGTAGTGTTGGGATGCTTGTCCAGGAGGCTACAGGTGACAGAATGTGCAACGTTGTAACTAGGACCAGCCCAGTGAATACAGGGGTGGGATGGGGCAGGGGGAGGGGTGCAAAGAAGGGACTCTTGAATCTAGCTACTCTCTTCATAATCTTTTACCTCTATTCCCTAGCCTGTCCTCATAATCATAGCCATTACTTTATCCTTCTCATGACTCAGGCTGGATATACTGAATCCCAGGTATGCATAGAACATGCTAAAGAAGGGAACAGGAAAAAAAAAGTGACCAATCACCTTGACACCACAGAAAGCAGCTTCTGCTCCTCCTCAGCTTCTTTTCTCAGAGGTCTCTGTCCTGTAAAATCAGGATGTGGTTTATGCATGATGAAAGTCAGAACACAGGGATGTTACAGTTAGCACCTCTTTAAATAAAGGTCTAAAGCTCCAAGAATTAATAGACGAGTCAAAAGTGCAACAGTAATGTTAAGACTATTCACTTGTTTATGTGGCTTCATTTTCACAGCATCTGCATGTCAACCTGTACAATACAATATCAAACTACTATGTGAAGCAAGAGGCACAGAAGTGACTGGACCCCTCAGACATGAAGACTGAGAAGGCACTTTGCACAATGTCAGGACACAGGTACTGTGACTCAAAGCATCCTCTAGTCCTTTCTCCACATCTTACCTGGCCAGCAGCACCCACCCCAGCACCCACCCAGATCCTTCATGTTGGCAGAGCTGGGCCTCTGAGAGGCATCTCAGTCCTGTCTGTCTGTGAGCCTCTCCTCTGAGCCTCATTTTCTGGTACAGTCTGTGCCTAGTAACTGTTGTTCTCGTGGGTCTGTTATCTCCAGAAAAGAAAAGGGGAATTCAGTTCTGGCAAGCTTACATCAAGCAAGAAGAAACATACCTCTCAATTCTCCTCTTCTTTTTCTGTACAATATTGTTGGTCTCTGAGAAGAAAAAATGAAATTAAAGGACCAGAACTCATATTCATCTGCATAGGAAGTTCAGATATCTACTAACCAGGAGTAATATGACAGAAATTTGTTCTTTGCCTTGATTAACTTTTTAAGGCGATAAGTTTTTTTTTTCAATTTTTTTTCTGGGAAACTTTAAAGCAGGATATTTTCTCTTGAGTGCAAAATCTCTACAGGTAATAGTCTAAAGTATGCTCCCTCAGAGGACACTGTGTCCTGTGGGCCTGAGGTCCAGGACCACAGAGGTCAGTATTGCTCTCCTGAACATCCCAGTTGAAAACAAGATTCACGATGGGACAGTGGACGTGGAGATGGGACTCAGATCAGGTGTCAGCAAAGATTGTTCTTGAGTGTACCCATATGTGTATCTAAAGCAGTCTGGATACAAAGTCACTATTTGTTCCTTCTTCCAGCATAGATAAACTGTGGGCTTCAGATGGAAACCTTAGTCTTTTATGAACTCCCTCCCCTGTCAGGCCTCGTGCCCTACAACAGTGATATTGCTTCAAGTGCTTTGATTCTCAATGTCAGATGTCTTTGTGAGGCAATCAGGAGGATAGACACCACTGATGGTTCTCAGCCATCAGAGCCAACTTCTCTTTTGGATATCAAAGTCTCAGAGGGCACATTCCCCACCCCCAACCCTTGCTTCAATTCCTCTTCCCCTATGAGTACATCATACTCAGTAAACAGAACTCTTTCTCTAATGAGATGCCCTCTGGGAAACACCAGTTGAGAATTGTGGGGTTTCTCCTATACTCCCATACCTTTAGGATGTGTTTCTTATGATGAATTGTTGGTACTGATGGTTTCAGCAAACGGTAGCACAAGTATAGAAGTAGAAATAGTAAGGCACCTAGAAGGGTGTACTTAGTATCAATATCTAAGAGAGATGAGCCAAAGCACAGCCATGGCTCCATTCAGAAAAGAGAGAATATTCCCCATGATCTGAATCACATGAGTGCCAGAGGCAAGTGAGTCCTGCCGGAGCATGGCCTCAGGTACAATCCCAGGCCTGCATCACAGAGCATGGACGGGTCATAGAAGGTTTCTGAGGGTGGGGCGGGGCAGCCAGGAGAGGCCGTGTCCACACCCCTGTCCTGACCAGTCAGACAGCAGAGCTCTGTACCTAACTCTGCTGCTCCATTCTCCAACTCTACCTTTCTTCATATATGTATTTACCCAGGGGAGGCTTCCCATTTGTTCATCTGTGATCGAGGATACTGTTGGGGGCCCATGTATGCTTCTGCTTTTATAGTCTGGTATATTACCTGCAATTTCTGTTCCTATCTTGACATATTTACACACTGCTTTTCCCTTTCACTTATATATACAAACCTGAAAGTCTTTTTTTTTTGTTCCTTGCTACTGTCAAATGGTAAAGTTTTGTGTATAAATCAGCCTTTACTGTCTTTACTCAGAGGGAATGACTCAAATTACAAAATAATGAAAATAATAGACAAATACCTGTAATTATAGCTTTAAGCATTCTGTGTGTGTGTGTGTGTGTGTGTGTGTGTCCTGGAACACACTCCCACTCTAACACATATACATCATTTGACAAATAATGTAGTATTTTCATCTGTAAAAAAATGTTTCCATTTTTTCTATCATTTATTACTGTGGCCCACTTCTAATTCTATATAAACTATAGGCTGTCTTAGACTACACCCATTTCATAGCAGTTATGGAATTCTCTCTAACAAGAGAGAATTGGTTTACAATGTGCTAAGGGAATATTTCTGAGGCCTTGTCAGGACAAAACAGAAGTATCAGAGGTTTAGTGAACAAGCCGCATCAATCATTCATACAGGACATGGAATTGCAGTCTCTCGTGAGTATCTGTCCTATACAAAATTGAGAAGATGTGTTCTGTAATCACCCAGCTCATGTTCAACAACCAGTTGTCTACTACATGTTATTCTTTTTTTATTTTAAATTGTGAAAATTCTGTACAGATGGGTTACAATTACATGGGCAAGGTAATGAGTACATTTCTTATCAAGCATTGTTGCCTCCTCTGTTTCCCCTTCCCATCTCCCTCCCCCTCTCGCACCAAAGTTGTAAAGTTCGTTTTTCCACATAAGGGACCCATTGCAACAATGAGATGCACACGTTATTCTTGTATTTAGCCCTCAAGTTGCCTGCACCCTATGATTCTCACTACACATGACTTTCATGCAGGAGCAAGTGCCCTGCCTTGAGGACAAGGGTCCTCCTCTCTTTGCTCTCAGCCTCAGCCAGGGTTTCAGTCAACACATACTGCTGTAGTCCTAGGCATGTTCCTGTGCTCACGTGAGCTTCCAGAGAGAAGTCCCACATAGGTCCAGGACGCACATATGCAGAGAAAAGTCCACTACCCCACAGCGTTGCTTTATAGCTAAGCAGCTACACCCAGTGAGTCAGAACTGCTGACATTCAGCATGTTCTCAGCAAGATTTCCATACCTGTCTATATTGTTTTCTCTATGAATGAAAAGTCCTTTGAGAATATGCCTGTCTTCTTCTGTTGGTTTTTTGTTTTGTGTTTAGTCCTAGGGCTTGAACTCTGGGCTTGAGTGTTGTCCCTGAGCTTTTGTGCTCAGGGGGCAGCATTCTACCTGTTGGGCCATAGCTCCACTTCTGGCTTTTTATGTCTAACTGGAATCTCACAGACTTTTCTGTCTTGGCTAGATTCAAACCGCAATCCTCAGATCTCAACCTCCTGAGTTGTTAGGCTTACAGTCATGAGCTACTGGAACCTGGCTTTTGTTTAAAATGGGATAATTGGCTAAATATCTTTGTGTGCCTAGATTGAAACTTAACAGGGGTGTAAGTGAGAAGGCTTTTTCCCAAATGCTAAGATGACCCTTTTCAGAACCAGGTAGAAGCTCCTTCAAAGCTCAAAAAAAGAAGAAACCAAAGATACCACCACCAGTAAACCATACTTCATAGCATTTATACTTCTTACACTAACATCAGTTTCCACCCTTCTCTGCTCCCTGGGATGGACCAGAGAGTCCAGCACTGACTCATAATGGGAACATAAGTCCAGCCAGTGAATGAGTAAATGTTAAGGAAATGTTAAGACCTAGCCAGTTCTTGACAAGTGAGGAACAGAAATTCCTGCTCTTGAAAACCAAGAGACTTGTAGCTGAGTTCTGGCTGTTGGGGCCAGTAATCCTAGGTATTCAGGTAGCTGAGCTCTATGGATCAGAACTCAGGGCCAGTGGAGGCAGGAAAATCCTTGTGACTCTTACCTCTAATCACACACAAAAAAGCTGAAAGCAGAGCTGTGGTTCAAGTGGTATAGCATTATGCCTTGAGCAAAACACAAAAACCACTCAGGAAGAGTGCATAGAACCCCTGAGTTAAAGCCTCAGGGATAGTACATGAGCGTGCGCGCCCGCGCACACACACACACACACACACACTCGCACGCGCGCGTAGAGTAGAACATAGAATGCATTTTCTCAATTTTGTGTCAGGAGTTGGGAAGGGTACTCTATCTCAGCTTCCAGGCAGCATTGGACTTATTCATATCTCTCCAATTTTAGTTCTTTCTGTCTAGGCTGGCCCCTTCGGATCAGCCTTTTGCTCCTGGAAATGGGGTCATCAACTTCAATTTGGATAGTCTAGGCCTCTAAAAAGACAAAGAGAAGACCTCTTGTTCTGGAAAGAACACAAATTGTGGAGAGATGTTTCCAGGTCTCCAGCATCTTGTTCTGTTCACATGTAGGAGTTACTGTTCTAGAGGAAACGATCCTCAGTCTGAAGTGCCACTGAAGAAGTTACTGCTCTAGAGGAAACGATCCTCAGTCTGAAGTGGCTTCAAAGCACTTTCAGAAGTAGAATAACAAGAAGGTGCAATCCTTCATTTTTATTGTGATTAAGTGGTTACATAATTTCCCAAATTTCACAGTATTGTAGGATAATGATGGTCAGTTAAAGTCACAAACACATTCTAACTTTCCTGGAGCAAATTGTCTATCATGGTCTATAACATTTATGAGTTCTATGAGCTTTGCTATACAGTTATTTCTTCCACATTGGGTGATATGTACATTTCTTTTGTTTTGCATAGTGTCAGCTGTTCCCTCTTTCCCACTTGTTCCCTCCCTCCTATCACTGCCATTAAGTTGCTTAGTTCATTTTGGTCAATGTCCAGTGCAGCTGATGGGTCCCGCTGTTATATGTTTTTCCCTGATTCCCTCTAGTTCTGTGTCATCTTCCTGGTTCCCCTCCGGTGTACAAATATATACCATACATGTGATCAGCAGCATGGGGTTATTTAGTAGTGATTCGACCAGATGAGTGGAAGTCCTTTGTTTCTTAAGTCCTGTTGATTTTGTTGTATCACCTAACATTTTGGATTTAACATCTACTTATCAGGGAGACCATGTAACGTTTGTCTCTTTGCTCTTGGGCTTACCTCGCTCAACATGATTTCTTCTAGCTCCATCCATTTCCCTGCAAATGCCATTATTTTATCATTTCTAATGGCTGCATAATATTCCATTGTGTATAGATACCACAATTTTTGGATCCATTCATCTGTGGTGGGACATCTGGGTTGTTTCCATACCTTGGCTATTGTGAACAGTGCTGTAATAAACATGGAGGTGCATGTGTCATTGTATACTGGTTTCTGTTGTTCAGGATAGATGCCTAGGAGTGGTATGACTGGGTCATAAGGGAGGTCAATATTTAGCTTTCTGAGAACCCTCCACACTGCTTTCCAAAGTGGTTATATAAGTGTACATTCCCACCAGTAGTGTAATAGGGTTCCTCTTTCTCCGCATCCCCTCCAGCATTTGTTGTTGGCTGACTTGAGGATGTGGGACATTCTGACTGGGATAAGGTGGTATCTCAAGGTTGTCTTTATTTGCATTTTCTTCACAACCAAGGATGGTGAACATTTCCTCATTTGTTTCTTTGCCATTTTTATCTCTTCTTCTGAGAAGTCTCTCTTTAGTTCCCTTGCCCATTTAGTAATTGGTTTGTTAGGTTTTGGAGGGATTAGTTTCTTGAGTTCCCTGTATATACTGGATATTAACCCCTTGTCTGATATATTGCTGGTAAATATTTTTTCCCAATTAGTTGGTTGTCTTTCTAGCTTGGTTGTGATAGCTTTAGCTGTGTAGAAGTTTTTTTTTTTATTTTAAGGTAGTCACATTTGTCCTATCTCTCTCCAATTTGTTGTGACCCTAGGACTCTGTTCAGGAAGTTCCTTCCTGTTCCTATGAGTTCAAGTGTTTCTCCTACTCTGTCCTGCAATAGATTCAGAGATTCAGGTTTAACATTAAGGTCTTTAATCCATTTTGAGTTGATGTTGGTGCATGGTGATAGGCTGGGGTCCACTTTTAGTTTTCTGCATGTGGCTGCCCAGTTTTCCCAGCACCAGTGGTTGAAGAGGCTGTGTTTCTTCCATTGTATGGCTTTGGCTCCTTTGTCAAATATCAGCTGACTGTAGGCATGTGGATTTATATCTGGATCTTCTAATCTGGTCCATTGGTCTTTAGGTCTGTTTTTGTGCCAGTACCATGCTGTCGGCATGAATATCCCTCCCATGTTGTCTTTATTCCCTAGAATTCTTTTGGCTATTCTAGGTCTTTTGTTGTTCCATATGAATTTTTGGACTGTTTTCTGTATTTCAGAGATTTTTGTCATTGGGATTTTAATAGGAATTGCATTGAATTTGTATGTTAATTTTGGCAGTATTGCCATTTTCACTATATTAAGTCTGCCTATCCAAGAGCATGGGAGGGCTTTCCGTTTCCTAGTGTCTTCTGTAATTTCTTTCTTTAACTTTTTATAGTCTTCATTAAATAATTCTTTTACATCTTCGGTTAGGTTAATTCCTAAATATTTTATTTTTTGGGAGGTTATTGTGAATGGGGTTGCTTCCTTTATTTCCCTCTCTGCTTGTACATTGTCAGTGTACAGGAAGGCGACTGATTTTTGTGG